CCCCCCCACACACACACGCACACGCACACGTACACGCACGCACGCACGCACGCACACGCACGCACGCACGCACGCACACGCATACACACACCCTCAATGTATATCATATTTTATCTTCACATGGTATATTCTATGTTACGCTAAAATTACCTGGAACTTATAACTTACTTACGATTTATTTACCAAAAAAGTTTCATCTCTGAAAATAATTACAGTATTGATTCTTCTTGCTCTTAGAGTTGTCATTCCCATGGTCGATATTGATAAGAATTCACGCCAAAAGCTTGGTGTCTCTGAAGTTGTACTATTCCCTCCTTCTTTCCGTACAGTAAATAAGGCTTGATTCTATGATATACGAATCGTTCGACCATGTGTTCAGGACTGTAACAACTCTTGAAGAAGTCGTCGCAGGAATACAACTTATTGTTATTGGGAATTAAGAAAATAGTTATTATTATTGAACAAATGATGAGTTGATTTAAATTCAGAATCACGATGTTAACGATGAAATATAAGTTCTGTCTGATACTCTGCAAGTCAAAATAGAACAGTGAGGAACCTTGCACGTCGCTGAAATTAAGAGGATTAGGGCGGGGATGCACCGTGCAACTTAAGAAAAAGGTAAAAGACCTTGCACGACAACCAATCAAGAAAGCGGAAAATTTTGCACAACTGAAAACAACAGGCACTGAATATCACGAGAACTCAGATTTCCATTAGACTGAAAAGATTCCAAATTCAGACTGACTTGAAGCGTGAGGCTTGGTCGCTTATCATAGAGCAAGACGTCGAGAAGCGTCTACGAGAAGATCGTGTGGTGTTCTAGAACACGAGGCATTAACTCTAAAGAAAGTCAGATGAAAATTGTCTAGAGCTTTCTAATCGTTGTATTTCCGAACAAAAGAGTTCTGGGACAGTAGTGACGGAGGTAGTTCGAGAACGATCCCCCATTGCATATTTCGGAAAGGTACTTAGGGCCACCTGGTGGAGGGGAGGGTCTAGCGGCCCCAGACTGGGGACCACGTAGAAGACTAGCGTCACGATTCGAAGATTCAGTTCCATTCTTTTATTCTTTGTACTTCGTAGAATCAGTTTTACGAGTAGCATACATTTTAAACACAATGGTACATGAAACATCGTTCTTAGATAAGTTTTAGATATATCTTGGAGTTACCCTTCGTACCAAAAGTAAAGACAATACCTTATGTGACTTCGATCAGGTCTTGATTAGGTGTAAGTAAGGAATACCTGATGAAAAGAAGATTACTATGCCGGATATCACCCCTATCAGGCCTAGATATGTGTTGTCTTATTTTAGTCTATGACATCTTAATATGTGCTGACAAAAATTAGGTTATTTCTCTAAATACAATACTATATTATACAGATATTATACATAATAATCGGATATGTTTTGTATTACGCGTAATAATACGAGAAAACTGAATCCCACTAAGTTATAAAACAATTCGCTTGAACAATATGACAGAACATTTATACAGGGTGAGTCGTTTAACTTGGCACAAATGAATATCTCAGAAAGGAAGCATTTTACAAAAAAAAAATGTTCGAACAAATTTCAATCATTTGGTTTCGAGGGGGAAAGAAAGTGCTGTGCCGTTATTTTTTAATCTTGGCGATTTTCAAGGTCTTTCGAAGGTCAACTTTGCTTTTTTAAATGGGAATCTATATTTTTTATTGCAGATTGTTATGCTGTGCAAAGAACCAATTGACCCTTAGTTTGAAATAAATTTTAATAGGACCAATATTTTCAACAAGAGAGAACAACATTAACTAAGGCTTTCTTCTAGCTCAAGAGAGTTCGAAAATGCATTGATGTTGAAGAACACCATTTTAAATACTTGTTATAATATTACTTAGCAATATTAACAATAAATAGGTGATTTACGCAGGAAAAAATACTAATTAACTTTTTTCTTTTCTTCCGATTTTCGTATCTACAAAATCGCTATACTTATCAAGAGACTCGGTCGAGTCTCGCGCCAATTACAGGCAACCCGCCGTACGGGGCACGGCCCGCCGAGACTCTTTACTTGAAGCATCTCTTGTACCTCTGTTTCGACTCAAATATCTTATGAACGGCTGTATGTGAGAAAAATTTGTTCATACATTCATTCTAGGAATCAAGGGTTCTGAATTGATTGCCACCAAATTCAATACGATTCGTGTACGGGATCAGGACGTATTCACATGGCGAGCGAGATGATTTTATTTTAGGTCCGTCGTCGTCGTCGTCGTCTTCGCACGTCCATCGCATTTTTTACACCACGGATGGCGCTGCCTGCTTTACCTTCTTTACCTATTTGTACTCTGTATGGTGTTAGTAATTTACGAATACACAACACAATCAAATACACTTTATACGTGAAGCTACCGTTCATACCGAATTTCCAGTTAGTATAAGGGTGCTTTCACAACAGTATAGAATTATTAAGCGAATACACAACACAATCAAATACACTTTATACGTGAAGCTACCGTTCATACCGAATTTCCAGTTAGTATAAGGGTGCTTTTACAACAGTATAGAATTATTAAGTTTTTAATAGCATTCATGTGGAGCGCGCGTATATGGGTGTATGTATATGTGTGCTTCGACATAGTTCCTCGTATTTTAGGTGACAGTTTGTCCAGGTGTTCCGCTCCGTAGTTTTCTGTATCTAGGTGGCGGACGTGGGAGTTCAGGGTGTTCAGGTGTTCTGCTCCGTAGTTTCCTGCATCTAGGTGTCAGACGTGGAAGTTCAGGGTGTTCAGGTGTTCCGCTCCATACTTTCTTCTATCTAGGTACTGGATGTGGAAGTCCAGGGTGTCCAGGTGTTCCGTTCCGTAGTTTCCTGTATCTAGGTGTTGCATTTAAATGTCCAGGATGTCCAGATATTCCGCTCCGTAGTTTCCTGTGTCCAGGTGTTGGATGTGGAAGTCCAGGGTGTCCAGGTGTTCCGTTCCGTAGTTTCCTGTATCTAGGTGTTGCATTTAAATGTCCAGGATGTCCAGATATTCCGCTCCGTAGTTTCCTGTGTCCAGGTGTTGGATGTGGAAGTCCAGGGTGTCCAGGTGTTCCGTTCCGTAGTTTCCTGTATCTAGGTGTTGCATTTAAATGTCCAGGATGTCCAGATATTCCGCTCCGTAGT